GTTGCGTGTGGGACATCCAGGGTGATCCAGAGTGCGAACAGTGAGTTGTGTGGGCGCTCAGTCGCCATAGCCAGTTTGAAGAGAACTCTTATGTGAATACGATATCTTGAGTACTGAGTGGGCGCCTGTCGCCAATTTGCTGTTTCGCTGTTTGCATACATGACAAGTTGAATAATCGTAGTGTGATTTCAAATAGGAGGAAAGTGGAGGGACAAAGAAATAGAGAGGAAAGACAAATTTCGCAGTGTTCTCAGTACTCACCGCCAGAGCAAACTACTATGGGATGGTGTAAGAGGCCAGTCAGTGTTTGGATTGCAGAGAAAATTTAGTTAAGGAGCAGGCACTGCCTATTGCAAGGCCACAGGCCTCAGCGGCATCCGATAGGAGAGTCGTGCAGAAGGACCCGATCCTAAGTGAAGAACATGCTTGCAAAATTCCACCAGGCCTCTGAGGAGACTGGCATGAGGCAGTTGGAGGTTGCAGGGGGCAGCTTCAACAACTAACAGGTAGCCCCAGCCTCAATAGTTAGTTGAAGAGGCTGAGGCCCAGGTACCCAGTCCGGAAACTGCTCAGAGAATTCCCAGACTCGGCAGCGCCTAGTACCGGTCAGGCAGCCGTGGCCTCCAGAAGCAAACAAAGTGAGGGAGGCCACAGCATTCCACACATTTGGAGGCACTGGCTGCTGGCACAAGCATTGTGTAAGCACACGTGGCCATGCCCCTGTGCTTCGATGGAGGAGGGAGGAGCAGCCACGCTAAGCTGAACCTGCTTGGCAGGCAGCCATAGCCGCGCCAAGTGTGGAAGTGCAGGCGCTGGTGCTGGGGAGAGAGAAGAGCAAGTGCAGGCGCTGTTGCCTTGCTGTTAGTTGCACTGCCCTCCCTCATTGCTGCCTGTCTTGCTGCTGCTTGTCTTGTTCCCTTGATGTCCCCGGCCTCGCTGCTTGCCATGCTCCCTATGCTGTGCCGTGTTGCTGCTTGCCTCACTGTTTGGCGGCATCTGTCCTCTTGCATCAGGGTTTGAAGCAGATTATGGCTCCAAAAATCATGAAGGGGCTCAGCAGACTGTCGAGGGTTCAGCGTGCTGATGAGTTGGTGAATGTCCAACAAAAAGCCTGTCACGATTCTTGTATTTGTCTTCTTACTGAAGTTCTGTTTTCCAGGTAGTTTTGTCATGATGCTATTGTCGGCCTCACTTGAATGCGCCGATTGGGGATATGTTTTCCATGCGATTGTAACACCGATCAGCTGGTCGCACCTACAGGTGCATTGGTTTATAACACACACACACACACACACACACACACACACACACACACACACACACACACACTTACACACACACACACACACACACACACTTTTGCCCGATATGCCGTTGTGGCCTTGACATGCCATGCTTAAATAGCTGCGAACATCAGCCTGCTTCCTGCTCGCATGTCAGCAACATGCCATATGTAGTCAATGTTTTCGGGAAGCTATCAATGAAAGTATGAGTCTCTGCTGCGTGGGCTCTCCCGATGCCATCACCCGCCACATCTTCTCCTAGCATGTCCCACATGCAGCGTTGGGCATACACTTGCTGCAACAGCAGTCGGATCTCCTTCATCCTTGCCAGACAAACAACAGACGCAGCAGCCTGAGGAGGATAATAGACGATCACATGAACCACCTACAGTGCGCTGTACAGAAAGGTTATCACCACCAGGGCAAGCTGTTGCAGACCAAACCTTGCAGTAGCTAAACACCTTTACCTTGGATCAGCCCTCGCCATGACCTGCTCATAGTGAGGGAGTAATGACTGCGAAAACCCAAGAAGCCTCTCAATGCTTCTCTGTGATGGCCCAACTGAGATTCAGATAGCATGTGATTCACATGCTTTGTGTCGTGAGGATTATGAAGGCATAGCCCATGCAACTTTTTGATTTCATACGTTTAATGACAGTCAGCATTGTAGTCATATACGGCACACTGACATGTCATGTCCAATTTGTAGATGGGTTGGAGCGGCAATGCCTATACAGTTGCGGTCGCCGGTCGGCGTGCCTTTGTGTTCCTAGCATGAAAGAAGCCACATAGCCCGTGACATCTATCTACGCCGTGCCATTTGATGCAGCAAGTGCGAAAAGTTGAAAACCCATCTTGTCCCAGCTGTAGGGGTGGCCACTTACCATAGGCAACGGCTGGTCCTCAACTTAAAATCTTCTGCAACCCAAACGTGACCGGCCTCTCGTGCCATCCTAGAGTAGTCTGTTTCAGCAGTGAGTATGAGAACCCTGTTCTTCGCCCCTCATTTCCCTCCTCTACTCCTCCCGACAGCAGGTTAACCGACCCCCCAAATTTCACCCCCATTTATAAGAAAACCAAAGGGTCATTTTAACCATACTTCACACCAATCTGTAGAGTGCACTTCTTACTAACTTATTCTAAAAAGAAAACCGAAAAAAAAAAATTACCCTAGGGGTGAAAAGTGGGGGTACCTGTTAACCATTTGTGCAGAGGCACGAGAAAGGGGGCAAGGATGCAGTAGTAACAGGCTAACTTAGGCAGGGGTGAGTGGAGGTACATCCTGCGAAGCAATCAATGCCGCCCACTCTCCCAACCATAATGGAGGGAAGCGTCTTGAGTGTGTTGTAATTTGTATTGTCGACTTGCTGCTGGAATAGGAACCGGACTGATGCTCCCCAGAATGGACAAGGAGTCAGGGTCGTAAGGCCCTGTTTCGTTCAAAAAAACAAAAAGAAGAAGGGGTACCCCAAACAAAGCCAAAGAAAGAAAGTCAAGAAAGGAATTTAACGGATCTATTCTGCTCCATGTTGCTTGCTACAGGAGTAAAAGTGTTTCATTGTTGGAATGGCTCAACTCAAGTCTGCTTCATTGTCTGCAATAGAGGTAAAGCGGCATCGATTTTGGATCTACTCATCTATGTGGAACAGGGGCTGTTGTGGTGAAATCTAAAACATGCACACACACACACACACATGTGCGATGATGATGATGATGAGTGATGATGAAGAGTAAGAACAGGACAATGATGAAAGATAAGATGAGGTGAGTTATTCTTTCCCTTCTACCTGACCTAGATTGTCATCAACTGATGAAAAGGTCTGGGATTTGCAGACCCTAGTTTTGGACTTTAGTCTGCAGACTCATAACTCAGTTTGCAGAGGGCAGGTCACACCTGATTCTGTGGCTATACCCTGCTAGCCCTATCTGAGCATGTAGGAACCAGTCTCAGCCAAATTCTAAAGATTCCGATTCAGCTTTGAACAGCATACGCCAGCTCAACCTACAAAACACCTAAAAGAGCTTCAGTAAACATACACCAATCCTGGCCTTCATCCACTGCCTGGACACTTGAGTGAGGCCAACAGACTGCACCACCAACCACCGAAAAGTCGTCCCTACAACAACCCCTTCCCAGGTCACGATGCCGGCTCTCTTTATACTGCGTGTGTCCCCTCTGGTGCACACTCGTGCATGCAGAGAGAGAGAGAGAGAGAGAGAGAGAGAGAGAGAGAGAGAGAGAGAGAGAGAGAGAGAGAG